TTGAGCCCTGGCCGGTTTGGCACAGTGGATGGAACATCAGCCTGCATATTGAAAGGTCCTGGGTTTGATTCCCGTCAGAGCACATGCCTGGGTTGTGGGCTCAGATCCCCAGTGGGGGGCATGCAGGAGGCAGCTGATCAATGATGTTTCTATCTCTCTCTCCCTCCCTCTCTGAAATCAATAAAAGAATAGATATATTTAGATATATTTGTAGATATAATTGACACATAACATTAATGTTGATTTGATATAATTATAAATTGTAAAATAATTGCCACCACAGTATTAGCTCTCACCACCATCCAGTCACATAGTTACCATTTCTTTTTTTGTAGTGAGAACATTTAAGACCTACTTTGTTAGTGATATTTAAGTATATGATACAGTATTATTAGCTGTTGTCACCATGCTTTACATGAGATCCCCAACTTGTTAATTTTATAAATGACTAGAGGCCCATTGCATGAAGATTCGTGCAATAGACCTTCCTTCCCCTGGCTGCCAGCACCGGTTTTCCTCTGGCACCCCGCCTCCCCCCGCCAGGCCTTCCCTCTGGCTGCTGCCTTCCATCTTTGCTCTGGCCAGAGCCTTCAGTCTTCACTCCAGCTGGAGCACTGCTCCTGTAGCTCCCTCTGCCCTCACCCTCATAGCAGGCCTCCTGCCCCACCTGGCTGCTCCGTGCCTGCATGTGTGCTGCCCAGAGGCCCAGAGAAGCTGGGGGGTGGGGCCGCCTCCATCTTTGTCAGGCTAATTGTGTACTCCTGATTGGCTGGCATGTTTCTCTTTTATTAATGTAGATGTTTATACCCTTTGTCCAATATCTCTTTCCTCCCGCCCCCCAACTTTGGTGATTATAATCACTCCTCTACTATCTGTTTCTCTAGTTTCTGTCTTAGATTCACATATAAAATTATTTTTAAAAATATTTTTATTTATTACAGAGAGGAAGGGAGCAAGATAGAGAGATAGAAACATTGATGATGAGAGAGAATCATTATTCGGCTGCCTCCTGCACACACCCTACTGAGGATGGAGTCTACAACCTGGGCGTGTGCCCTGACCGGGAATCAAACCATGGCCTCTTGGTTCATAAGTTGAGACTCAACCACTGAGCCGTGAAGCTGGGAAAAACATTTTGCTTTTTAAAAGCAATTGGCAATCTGCAGCTAGATGAGGTTTGGGGACATGCATGGCTATAGTAAATGGGAGAGACCGGAAGCTTTTCTGGCCACTTCTTGGCTTTGCAGAAAGGCTCCAGAAAATTAGCAGCCAGCAAAATGTTCACTACTCATTCCCCTGATTGCCAAAAACTCACAGTCTGGGAGCTGAGAGCAATGAACATCAGTGGAAGGAAGAGAATACTTATGCTTTTTATTCACATTTTTAATTGATTTGGAAATTCTTGCCTGGCCCTTTGCCTTCTGCATAGTCCAGAGTCATGAATCTTTGATACGTGGCTCAAAAGAGAAGCACAGGGCAGTGTATTCCCTTTCCCTCCACCAATTTCCTGCCATGTTTCTATTCAGGGACCTGGGTACACACCATCCAGTTCAGAGACGGAGCAAGCTCTGCTCGCTTAGTGTCCCTGTGTACTGCCTGGCTCCACCGAGAGCGCGTGTAGGAGGGGCCACACGTGATGTGAAGCTTTGGGGGCTTCCCACTGGGTGGTGATAAGGGTTCTTTTGCCACTAATTGCACCCATATGTTTTTAAAAAGGTGAAAAAGAATCCCTGAACTTAGGTGTCCATTTATACATTAATTATGTTGATCTCATTTGCAGCAGTTTGGTCTTAATAGCTGTATTGCTGCAATGCCCAAATCTGTGATTTCAGAATGTGACGTGCATATTTTAATTTGAGAAATAGTTTAACATTTTTAGATATTCATTTAGATGGTGGTTATGCAGGTTAAACATAAGGTATGATCACTGCTTCTTTCATTGCTTCCAATTAAACCTTGCTTGTTAGTTTAACCTCTAGGTAATCCCATCAAACAATTGATGTCAAGGAAACACTGCCCACAGTAGCTTCGGATGAGTGGCCATTAATTTTAATTGCCTTGATATTAAAGATTAAGAAGTATTGGGACTAGCAGAATAGAAACTATCTGATGTCAAGCAAACCCACTTGCTACAGCTTCCCCAGGCTGCTGGTGATATTAAAATTTTACTGTGAGAATTAAATAAACCTTTATTAGTGATGACTGTTGTTTGATTGGTCCAGGGGTATGCATAAACACAGGATTCTTACATATCTAGAGATGAGACCTTCGATGGTACAGAGATTCCTCAATTATGAAACTGTTAATAAAGCTGTAATCTGATTTCCAGGCCAGGTTTCATTAATGTATTATAGCTTCTCTGATTGTCAAGGTAATATTCACTACAAAGCACAGAATCCAACAGAGAATTGTTTAGAAGAGGAGAATTCTAAGATGGGCCTTTGTTGCTAAATTCAGAGATGGGGAATTTTCATTAATTATGCTTAATAAATGCCAAATTCCCTCCCAATCAGGAGTATCTCCCTTTGCACTGTAGATATAGTCAATATTTAACTCTTTAAAGGCTTGACAGTCTTATTCAAATGAGCCAGAGTAGTAGCATATGTTGAACATTTGTATGGAAATGTCTTAGAAATTTAGAACTGATATTCATAAAAGTTAGAGATAGAGATGGGAATCTGGGAGTCATTCATAATGAGATGATAATTGAAATTGAAATAGTTGCTAAGGATAAGCTTGCTCAAGGAGAAAGAGAGAAGAGGGGCAAGATCTAAGTGTTGGAGAAAACACACACATACACACACACACACACACACACACACACACACTGGTGTCAGGGAAGGAGAAGCAGGAGCATAATCTCATGGAAACCACGTCCCCCAAAAAGTGAGAAATGGTAATTACAAATATCTGACACTGCTGAGAGGTAAACAAGTTGAGGAGAGAAAAAAGGCCATTGGATTTGGGACAGGTGTTAAGCCTATTGTAACCACCTCCATCAACTACCTAGGGCACATGTGTCAAACACAAGGCCCGAGGGCCAAATCCGTCCCACCAGGCCTTGCAATGTGGCCCGCATCGCGCTGTCATCACTGCACTCCGCTGCGTTTCCATCACAATGACAGTTTATGACTGTTCAGTAAACCATTCGGCCCGCGATTTAGGCTGGATTTTAGATTTTGGCCCCTTCTCTGATTGAGTTCGACACCCCTAATAGGGCCTTGAGATTGTTAAGATTAAATGAACTCAGCCTGCGTGGCTCAGTGGTTGAGCTCTGACCTATAAGAACCAAGACTTCACGATTGGATTTCTGGTCAGGGCACATGCCCAGGTTTTGGGCTCAACCCCCAGTATGGGGTGTGCAGGAGTCAGCTGATCAATGACACTAATCATTGATTTTTCTATCTCTTCTTTCCCCTCCCTCTCTGAAATCAATTATATATTTGATTTATATATATATATATTCTTTTTAAAAAGATTAAATAAGAAAATGTGTGCAAAGGACACTGCATAATGCTGGGCAGGCACATAGGAGACAGTCATTAGATGACAGCTATGATAAACACTGCTATTTGATATGAAGGAAAAAAGGGATACATACAGTCCTGCAGGGGAAGGAAATGGAGGTGGAACAGAAATAGCTATGGAGTCCTGATCTTTAGCGTTTTTTTCTTCCCGACAAGTTTTGGCGTGTTCCTGACTGATGAACCTGTGCTCATGGGAGCTGCACGGTTCTTCAGCGAGTGTCCTACATGTGTGTGCACACAGTGGTGCCCCAGGAGGGAACAGCATGCGGGCAGCGGCAAGGCCAGCATTGTCTTCCTGTGTGGCTCCCTGGCCAGGGTTCTCTGGCTTCTGTTAGAAGGATGAGTGCCATGGGCTGAAGAATGAGAGTTCGTTTCCCAAGCAATTAAAGACTTGGCAAAGATGGTGAACAAGCCTGCCCCTCGGCATAAATTGGATTGGAGGGCTCATACCACTCCTTTTTCCTCAGGGCCCTGAAGAGCTGTTCAGGATAAAACAGTGACTCACCGGCCTGGTACCATAGCAACATGCCCCTTTGACATATTAAGAGATTATTGAAAAGTATTTTTTTTTTAACTGTTACTTTAACAAGAGAGGTCAGAGCATTTTATGTAGCAGTGGGTGCCTTCTTACAAATGGCTGTGTGGGTTTTAGTTTCTTTATATAGCTCAGCTATAAGAGCCGGAACACATAATGTAACAGCCATAACTTGGGCTGAAGTTTTGCTGTCAGTGAGATGTACTGAAATCTGCTGTTGACAAGATCCTCTTTAGAATTCTTTCCCATGTGCCCTAGAATGAAGTACTATAAGTAGTTTGCAAAAGAAATAAGGATAGTCCACTGGATGGAATCGGAGCCACTCCTGTGTATTTGCATTGGACTTGACTGCAGTTATTTGAGTTTTCTCCTGTGTGACTGGCAGAGCTTGAGCAGTTCTGTTGGCAGGCAGGCATATCTTCTAAGGCAGGAGACAAAGGGATTTTTCATCCATTACTAATTGATGTTACTCTTTTTATCAGACCAAACATGATTCTACTGTACAGCTGCCAAAATTGTCCCAGACCCAGAAAGAATAGTCATTCTTTCTCAAGTATTTTTCATTTTTTACCTAACTTAACAAATATTTCCTTTAGTTTTCAGCTACTTTTAGGGGGGACTGATCACTTACATACTAATAATAGGTATATTATTAGTATACCTAATTGCATATTCTTTTATGAACAAACTGTGCTTGCAGCCATTTTAGTGTTGTTGTGGCTAACTCCAAATAGCAGTATCATTCCAAGAGTGTGGAGAGATTTGCAAAAGAGAAAGTGAACCCCCAAAACCATTATGCATTATCCACAGAGTGATTTCAGGCTCAGAATTGAGTGTCTCCCAAGGGATCCGCTTGGTGTCCAACAGTTACTGGAAGTTTAACTCCCCCCCGACCTCTCTTCTCCTCACTCACATCCCTGTGATTTTGTGATTTGTAGGTATCCAACTGGTTTGGCAACAAACGAATCAGGTACAAGAAGAATATTGGCAAGTTTCAGGAAGAAGCCAACCTCTACGCTGCAAAGACCGCCGTGACAGCCGCACACGCAGTGGCCGCAGCCGTGCAGAACAACCAGACCAACTCGCCCACCACGCCAAATTCCGGTGCGTACCGGGCGCCTGTGCCACAAAGCCCTGTCTCACAGCTCAGGAAGCAAGAGCCCTACTGAGGACACGGTGCTTTGTACAGGAAGAATTATGTAAAAATGCAGGCTTGTTGGGGGAGGGTGAAGAACTGAGTGGCCAGAGCCTGTAAAAACCTCCTGTTCAGTGAGTTCCACTTGCTACTGGTAGGTTCTGGAACTTTCACACTGTGTAGTGGTTTTTTAATTCAGCAAATTAGGCAAAGTGCCATCACTAATGATTATTTTAACTATACTGTTCTTAGATCATTTTAAGGTCAATAGTGCCTGTCAAAGAATGACATAGCTGAAGTGGGACATTTATCTGTCGCTGTGCAGTGAGCTAGAATGTCGGAGTGGAGTACAGTCCTGCTTTCTACCTAATGCGGCCACAGCCTCATCTGCTGCCCTTCTTAGCATTTCCCCAGCACCTGGGCTGGCTTGCTGGGATTGGTGGGTGGTAGCTGTGAGGGCCATGGGACTTAATGAATGGGTACAGTATCTTGGCTCCTCATACCTAAACTTTATGTGACATTTGTGATGGAATTAGAAACATTTTAAAATTACAGGAACTTGACTAACAATGAAAGATGTGCAGCTGGTCCAAACAGATATTCATATTATTAATGTATATCTTTAAAAATTCAGAAATGCGGGAGTTTTCTGTTTGTTTTGTGGTCTTTCTCTGCCCTCTCCCTCGAGTATTTCTAATGGAACATGAAAACAGATGGAAGTTAGGTAGAATTATTGCTTAGAAACAGCTTCAGAAAAATATTTCTTCGCTGGGTAGTTGGCCACCATGGAGTTAATGATGGTGAAGAGCATGTTTAATGACCAGATGCTGGAGCTAAAACGGGAAGGTGCCAGGCCAGCTCCTAGGTGTTTTTCTGTTTATTTTTATTTTCTCTTGGTTTCTTACTGGGCTTCCCCATTGATAGCACTCTCCCAGCTGTAAGTGACTCGGGACCTAGTTCTTTGCCGTCACTCTCCGTCCTCTGAGCCCGGAAATGCTTCATGTTGTACAGACCTTTCCCTCCTGTGCCTGTCCTCCTTTCCCGACTCTAGGTCTGTGAGGGTTGTGTGTAGCTCTCTGTTATTCAGCCACTTAACTCTTTCCTTTCCAGGTTCTTCTGGTTCTTTTAACCTCCCAAACTCTGGGGACATGTTCATGAACATGCAGAGTCTGAATGGGGATTCTTACCAAGGGTCCCAAGTCGGAGCCAATGTGCAATCACAGGTAGGAGGAACGCCCCGCCGGGGCCTTTCTGGCAGGGTAGGGTTTGGGCTCAAAACTCCTTGCTCTCACCCCGTGGAAGCGGCCTGCATGTCTGTGCAGGACCTGGGCTGGGTGCTTCCAGACGCGACCCGTCAGCCCCACATTTAATTTAACGAGAAGTCAAGCGAACAGTGACTTTTGATGATTCAAACTTGATCAACTTTGTGAATGCATTCGGCTCTGGCTTGAGCTCATGGAGAAGGGTTGGGGCATCTTACTTTTGTACCAAAATAGACCAGAAAAATAGTGTGTGTACCAGTGAGTGTATGATTTACAAACAGATTACTGTTTTGTGTCTGTGTGTGTGTTTTTAAATCAGAATATAAAAACCTAAGTTCTTAAAATATATTCTAGGTTCAACATTTTTCTCGTCTTATTGAGAACAGTTTTTATGCACATAAGTGTGTGTGTGGAAGAGAATGTGTGTGTGTGCATGTGTGTGCGTGTGCATGTGTGTGTGTGCACGTGTGTGTAAGAGAGAGAGATCCAGTATACACATTTATAAGTAGATTTCACCCACAGCCACCACACACATTTGGTCGGTGTAGATGGGAAGTTTGCATTGCCATGAAGACTTACTGTTTTTGGCTGGCATAAAAAACAAAGACGTGTGAGTTTAAGCATGCAAAGAGTTGTTGAAATTCTGCCAGTCACGTTTGATTGATAATTTGTCTTTCATTGAAGATGCTAAACCCTCGTGGCACACATAATTCAAATTATTTCCTTTTGTAAGTGATGATGTTTTAATAGATTTGTGATGATGAATTTTGTTTCGTCTCACTTCTAGGTGGATACCCTCCGTCATGTTATCAATCAGACGGGAGGCTACAGTGATGGCCTTGGAGGAAATTCGCTGTACAGTCCACATAATTTAAATGTGAGTACTCTGGGGACCGGATGTGAAGAGCTGTAGGAACAGCGTCAGGTAAACAGCGACTAATAAATAAATTAATGGCCATTTGACGTGGCTTCTCATCTGTGGGCAGGTAGGGAAGGCAGCGTCGTCACTGCCCTTTTATTGTATGAATTTAAACGCCTTTAGAAGTCCTCACAGATGCCCAGTGCATCATCAATAGGGGCTAAAATTCCCGTCCATCAAGATGCCATCTCCACTGCCTCTGCCCTGTGGGTCCAGGAAAAAGGTGAAGAACAGGTCATTCATCTTGGAATTGAGCAGCAGGAAAAATTCCCCGCCAGCTCAGGCGGAGGGGACAGCCTTGGAGGGCCCCAGCGATCAACAAAGCAGGCTGCACAAAGAACCCTGCTCTTAGAGCAGTGCGCTGTGCTGTCAGCATGGGAGACACAGGCCTCTCATTTTCAATTACGGAGGAACTGATTTTACTTTCGTAGCCAATTCACGTAACATTTCCCCCCACCCTGACATGGATGGAAAATGGCAAAAAGCTCTTTGGGTACCTGAGAGGGGATGGGAGGTTGAGGAGGTGGGAGGGCTTAGGGTGGAGCTGGTATTCCAGACTGAGGGAGGAAATGAACCGCCCAGCACATGGTGGTAGAGTCAGAAAGAAAATGGACACAATTCTCTTTTTTTTTAAGGCCTTGACTTGCTATGAGAGTAAATATTAATGATTTAAAAAGTGATTGAGGATGTTCAATTGTAACGGGGGAAAAGGACCATTAAATACTCAAATCTTTTACATTTGAAATGTCAAATCTTTCTTTTTGGGTTTATAAATAACTCATAATAACCCACAACAAACCATATAAAAAGCCTTTTAGTTGCATTTCTCCTTTTTCATTTAAGTGTTTTGAAATGCTTCAGAGAATGTGCGATATCCTTATCAACATGATAAAATATGAAACTGTGATTGCCTGCAGCGTTTTACAGACATGAATTCCATCTTCACTGATGAGGCTTGATAAGGCGCTGTTGTATAATACAGTGCATAATCTCAAACCACCAGAGTAAGGATTAATTTATTTTGAAAAAAAGAATGCTTGCTGACAACCTCTCCTCCAGCTGCCAGGCTGGGTAAAAATATTGTACATTTGTTGTTTATAAATTTGGATAAAAGAGGAATGATGTTTACTTCAGACAGAATATCTTTTAGACTTGTATCTGCATAAGAGTTTTTCTAAGTACTAGATTTTCATACTTGAGGGTGAAAACAGCTTACCTTTTAGATAGAGTAGAGGATTTCTTAGCGTCCACACAATACACAAGCATGTCAGCATCCGCCCTGCACTACTGAGGCTTGAAAAATATACCATCGACACTGGTTTTTTCCTCACTTGAATTCGATATGCCTCAAGCCTGAAAACCCTTTTCCCTTTGGCTCTGGCCATCTCTGTGGGTGATCATAGGGAGGAAAGAGCTTTCTATGCAGAACAAGGCAGTCGATGAGAAGAAGGGAGTTCCCCAAGAACAGCGATCATGGGAGAGGGAAAATCCCCAGCACACGGCTCAGCTAGCAGCTCTAGCTGCCTGCGGAGTCTAGAGTGTTCTCAGAAGCCTTTGACACAGGCCGAAAGGAAGACATTTTGGGTGGCCTCTCAGAAGTTTCAGGCGGATGTGAGGGAGGCACGGGGACCAGGGGACCTCGTGACCACACTGACGTTGTTGTGGGAGGTCTGGACCGGGGCAGCCTCACAGGAGGCTGCTCTGTGCCGCGGGCACTGGGTGTCAGCCAGCCAGCTCGCCAGCTCGCCCTCGCCGCCTCTCCAGAAAGACCCGCTCCGTCACTTCCACTCAGTGTTCCCCAACTCACCAGCCCAGCACCTCCCTCCTGATTGACATAAAAATATGTAGCGACAAGCTGTCTCCCACAGCAGAAATCTGATCAGACGTTGATTTCAGCAATTGCCTCGGTAAGCTAGGACATGAGGCAAATTTGTTTCTGAGAACTGTTATTGCCGATGCAGACCTGAGGCGGGAAGGGCCAGTGGCCTGTGAAGAGCGGTAGCAACACCCCAGCTAGGAGCTCCTGTTGGAGAGAACTGGAATGCAGATTTGAATAGCGTGTGCTCCTCCACATCCTTGCGTTTTCGTTCCGGAGGATCCTGCTTGGAGGGAAAGCCTGGCCTTTGTTTTCCCAGGATTATAGCAGCCGGCTGTCAGCCCGTGTGGAAAGGCGGGCCGTTCTTCTCCATGGAGACGAGGATTAAGCCAGGCTGAAGTTGGTACTCCGTGGGCCCCAGGTCTTGCTGAGGCATTGCCCTGGCTTCTCTGCTGCTCCCTTCTTAAAGGATTTCTTTTCGAGTCACCTCCTCCTCACCAGCGAATCACAGGCTGAGGTTGGTGCCAGCTTCAGGCTGGCAGAGCCCTCCTTCAGTGTGCTGATTTATTGCCAAGTCTTTACTTGGTGGGATGGATTTGTTTTACATGCATTTAATCCCACTTTAACACATGCTTCCAAGTGCTGCCAAAGTGGGTTTAGAAAACACATTTCGCTAATGCATCTTTGCTCTCATGTTGTCATCTGGTATTTTAAATCGGGGAGGAGAATTCATATGTAGACGTGCACCCGTTGAACTGTGTTTCTCCTTTCAGGCTAATGGAGGCTGGCAGGACGCAACAACTCCATCTTCTGTGACTTCTCCTACAGAAGGCCCAGGAAGTGTGCACTCTGATACCTCTAACTAATCCTGGCAACACTTGCCCCTGAGCTGACACGCCTCGCTAGTGCGTTCAGAGCAATAGGAGGAGAAGGAAAGCGGTTCTGTGGCCCACCATCTACAGCTTTACTGTAAAACCTTGTCTTTTAGAGAACTTGGCCATCTGTTTCTTAAAGAATCATAATCATTTGTATTTATACTTAAAAAACACACAATGTTAAAAAAAAAAAAAAGCACTTTATCCAATTAGGCCAAGATTTAACATTGTTGACAGTCCTGTAGCTACTTTATCATAATTTATTATCAATATTTTACATGAATGGTTTCACAGTTGCCAATTACTTGGCGTTAAGGGTAAAAAAGTACAATGGATGCTAAACCTCATTGGTTAAAGCAGATGCAAAGACTCACCTACATTGAACTTCTAGCGTGTTTCCATCGCAGACTTTGCTTGTCTCTCTTTCATATCGCTAATGGAGTTGGAATAAAGGAGCCATTGGGCTATCTCTGTTAATGATGGTTGTGCTTAAGACTCTTAACTCGTCATGTTGTGTTGCGATCTCTTATGTTATAATTAGATCAGAGACTGGTGGCATCTTTTCTCTCTCTGAAAGCACCAGTGCCCAGAGTCTGCTTGGTAATTAAATCATGGATCCACACTGTTCTGGGAGATGAAGGTATTTGCTGCTGATGGAGGTGAACATGAGATCCATCTGGGTTTTCCGATGTGTGCTGGGTGCTGCACAGACTTGTCAAGGTTTGCTACGTCCTCTGGGCATTGACCAAGGCCCTGTTCTCTGGAGTGTTGTATATAGTGTAGCAAAAGAGTATTTATACATCTCACCAATCAAAACACAGCTTTATTACCTCATGCGAACTCATACAAACCAATAGAATTTCAACATGTTCTGTAGCTTAGAGTGCTCACTTACTACCTCTGAACAATACTCACGCTGTAGTTTGTCTCTTTCTTATCTTTTTGCATCTTGTAATTAACTCTTTGTTTCCCTTCATAAAATGTAATGTACATTGTAATCTTTTAAAAGAAAAATCAGGGTTGCATTTGCAACTTTTAAAAAACCGAGAGTGGAAACATTGGGTCTTTAACACAGAATCAGTAAAACTGTTGTAAATACTGAGAAACATTTTGAATGTTCTTCATCTTGTTACTAATTCATGCAAAAAAAAAAAAAGAAGAAAAAAAAAGCGGCGACTAATTGTGATGCATTTGGGTTTCAGTATTCAGTACTGTATATTTCACCCTGTGTGATGGGGCCCCCTCCTTTCTCTTTTTGTATTGTATGCGATTCTGAAACTGATTGAGTCATGAAAATAATTTGTGGCGGTGATTCTAATGTATTAAAAGCGTTTCGTGTTCCTTTCTAACTGGATTACACCCTGGATTGAAAAAGTCTTCCTCGTGGTAGTTATATGTAGTTTCAAACATGAATAAACTTTTTGCTTTCATGATTAAATGTTGATGCTATTTCTTACTCCACTGCGGGAACCAGCCAAGACAGGTCCAGGGGAGAACCTGCCCTAGGCAGGCCGGGGTGCAGGTGTGTGGCCTGTGGGAGGGGGACTCTGAGGTGACGGCGGTGCTGGCAGGACGGAACAGCCCCACCAGCTGACAGCTCTGTGTGCAGGCTCCTGGCTAGTTGCCAAATGCTGTTCCCTGTCCTCCTGAACCTGTGCTCTGAGCACGCCTCAAGGAATACTTCCATTTTCATAGATTAGGAAACTAACGCTCATAGAGGCTAACACCTCTGACAGCGAGGGGCCATGTTTGAACTTAGGTGCCTACCCTTGGAGCTCACACTCTCCATCCTGACCTAATGATGCAGTTGGCACTTGCTAGAGGGGAAAAAACTTTGTTGTAACTATCTAAAAATAACCAGTCTTGTCATGCTCAATTCTTCATTTTCATAACTTCTGTGAGATATCCACTAAAAACAAGCAAAAATTGGGGAGAGAGAGAAGCACTTATTTGTTGTCAATTTACTTATGTATTCATTGGTTGGTTGAACCTGCAACCTTGACGTATCCAGATGATGCTCTAACCTCGTGGTCGGCGAACTACGGCTCGAGAGCCACATGTGGCTCTTTGGCCCCTTGAGTGTGGCTCTTCCACAAAATACCACAGCCTGGGCAAATCTATTTTTAAGAAGTAGCATTAGAAGAAGTTTAAGTTTTAAAAATTTGGCTCTCAAAAGAAATTTCAATTGTTGTACTGTTGATATTAGGCTCTGTTGACTAATGAGTTTGCTGACCACTGCTCTAACCAGTTGAACTATCCGTCTTCTAGGGCCTTATCATAAGAGTTTAAAAAAAAAAACCTCTAAACTTGTAAAATGCAAGACCAACTAGAAATTCTTTAACTAGATTAAACACTGTTTTTGTTTTATTCAAATGGTTAGAAATTCCACATATGCACATCCACATCTGTCGCTGATACCTAAATCTTTATAACAAAAGAAGTTAATAGCAGGTAATTGGCCTGTTTACTATATATCTCAAGGAAATTGACTCACAGGAAATCAAATTAATGTTAATCAGTTGCAGTAAATTGTCTATGATAAATACAACTGTTTTACTGTTTCAGTTGGTGGAACCAGGCAAAACAAGGTCTAGGGCCACCGTTCCCATTAATCTTGAGCCAGTTATGCTGTGAGAGTCAACTTTGTAAAATGGATGGCCCTCCAAAGCTGTCCTCCCTCGCGGGCTCTGCCTGCCTGCAGGAACCTCTCCCATGGCTAAGGAGTTATTTGCATGATTCAATTAGCATATGGGTCAGCCTTTCTTATCTTTTACATAAAGCCGCCTCTATGCTGTGTGGCCCTGCAAAAATACCCTGTGGACACCGGACCTGCACGCACACACAAATACATCTTTAATGTCCCAGAAACGCTTCCTAAGGACCGTCTCGGTTAACCTCTGGTCAGTTGAGAGAAGCATATACCCGTGTTTTTTGGAGATTTACACCTTGACCAGCAACCCTTGAGGGGTGAGAGGCGAAGGCTTTGTCCCAGGTCTAAATAAGAACGGGGGCGTATGTGTTCCCTTGCTGGAAGAGTTGAGGGGAGGGCAGAAGCACCTTCACTTCATCCATGAGGGCACTGGGGCGCAGCATGAGCTCCAGTTTTTTTTTTTTAATATATTGATTTTTTTTACAGAGAGGAAGAGAGAGGGATAGAGTTAGAAACATCGATGAGAGAGGAAACATCAATCAGCTGCCTCCTACACACCCCCTACTGGGGATGTGCCCACAACCACGGTACATGCCCTTGACCGGAATCGAACCCGGGAACCCTCAGTCCGCAGGCCGATGCTCTATCCACTGAGCCAAACCAGTCTCGGCGAGCCCCCAGTTCTTAAGCTTCACTCCAAATTGGATGAAATGGGTTGATTTGATAGGTTTTCACCAGGCACCTTTTCTGGCTCAAGCAGTGGGTGAGACCCAGAGATGAATGAAACCAGGCTGCAGCCCTTGTTCAGAAAGCAAATGCTTGGTGAGGGTAGTGCAAAAGGCCTGGTGGGTTGCTGGACCCCTGGACAAGAAGGGAGGACTCAGAGCTCATTCTCAAGGTCAAAGAAAACAGCAGTGGGAGACCACCTGAGACGCCCAATCACAGGCTAAGGGGCCTGTCCACATGGACGCACAGGGCACAGGTGTGCTCAGGAGAAGACATGCAGTCTGTTGACAGCCCAGGAGCCCGAGCAGCTCCACGCTGAGCAGGTGCCAGCCTTCCACACGGAGGTAGGTACACGAGCAGGTGGGCACCTCTGCAGAGGACCAGGTGGCCTTGCAAACCAGGCTAGAACCTCTCTGTGGCCCTGAACTGAACCGAGCAGCTGCCTCCGATCAGCCCCGCTGAGTGGGGGTGTGAGGGGCCGGTTCCTGTGCGGGGAGTGACGTGGGGATGCGTCTCCCAGGTGGGATCGTGTTTCAGGTGTCTCATGCGTGTCGTGCCATGAGAAGTTGATATTGAGCATCTCTGGATCAGACGTTGGCCGGGCCCTTTCTGTACATTCTCGTGTCTGATGCCGGTGGCACCCCCCGGGACAGGTGATGTTGTTACCCCCTTTGCAGATGGGAGCTCGGAGGCTCAGAGTTGGCACTGCCGGTCTGCAGCCTCCCACAGCCGGGTTTGCCCTGTGAAGGCCCCACTCTCGGTGGCGTGGAGAGAGGCGTCCGTGGACTCGAGCCATCCGGCCTCCAGTGTGAGGCCCCTGCTGGGGCGAGGTGGCCACCTCTCGGCGCTCGCCTCTCTCCTGCCTCTGCCTCTGATGCCTGGGCCGCCGGAGTGTGTGTCCTGTGGTGTGTACAGGGCGCAAACCTGTGCCACAGATGAGGCGGCTCTGTCTGTGGATCACAAGGTTGGGGATGGGAGACAGGCAGAGCCACGCACCCGGGCTGGCCTGGCGCCATAGCCTTGACAGACCTGGGCGGCGACCATCACGATGCGTGAGCAGAGCTGAGCACGGCCTGGCATGCTCCCTTCGCACGCACGCACGCACTTCATTTTGGGTAGAGGTCTGCCTGTGCCCCTGTGGCTGCCTTTCCGCGTCCCGGGTTCTGTCCAGCTCTGGCCCCCGGCCCCTTAGCCCACTGCCCACTCAACCCGCTCCGGGTGCGAGCAGCTCTCACGTCCAGGCCTGGATGTGGATCCCAGCCCTGCCTCCTACCTGTGTGACCGAGGGGAGGGATTCTGAGCCTGTCTCCTCTCTTCTTCTCGGAACGTCCTCTGTGCACCCGCCTCCCTGGCGAGCGGCTGTCCTCTAAGGCTGAGCCCAGACCACTGTGCCCTCCAACGGAGTCAGGCCCTGCCTTTACCTCGGGTACAATGAAAACCGGACTATAGACATCCACTCAGAGACCTAAAGGATGAGGAGGATGAGGAGGAAGAGGAGAAGGAGGAGGAGGACTGAGGTGGGTAGGGCCCGGGCACAGGGAAGGGTGGCCCATGTGCAAACCCCAGAGGGCATGGCGAGCAGAAGGCAGAGCTGTGGGTCCCAGCTCTCTCCCCTCCCACCCTCTCCAAACCCTCCCCGCAGCCTCATGGGAAGGTTCTATCATCACCTCTCTTAACAGGTGAGGCAGCTGCAGCCACTTGGCCAAATACACATACAATCTGGGTGTTTCTGAAGCCAAAACCCACATTGTTAACACTTTGTGCCCTTTGCCAGTGTCTCTTTCTTACCATGCTGGGCGGTCTCGCTATTTGTGAGCTGGAGGTGGGCCCTGAGCAGGGGCGGGGACAGGCCAGCCCCTCGTCCTCGGGGACACCGGCCTGCGGCCCTGAGGAGGGCTGCTGTGTCCGCTTTAGGCCAATGAGCGGTTTGCCCCTGTCCCTGCTGGGCCTGGGACGGTAAGCCTGACCATCTCTCCGCTGATTTCTCAGCGTCACAGACTTAGCCCAGGTGCGTGGATCCTGCTTCCCGCCGGGCCCTGCCAGGCGCCCTGCTGGGAGGCACGTCTCCGGCCAAGCAGACACTGGCCCCATCGCAGAGAAGAAATGAGGCCCAGGGGGTCCCCAGAGCCGAGCACTCAGGAATGTGGGCTCCTGAGTGAGGATGCCCCGGGCGGGGGTGGGGGGCTGGCTCTGCTTCACACCGACTATGTGTCCTTCGGCAAGTCATGTAACCTCCCTCTGCCTCAGTTTCCTTAACTGTCAGGCCCCAGCCTCCCAGCACTGTAGAGGGGACCAAGCAAGTAGGTTTAGTTAAAAGTGGCTGCCTGGAGTAGGCGCCCGGTCTGCTGCTCTCATTGCCTATCGGTCCTCGACGGGCCCCAGAGTGTGACTTGCTCTCAAACGCCCTCTCCTGTTCCAGTCGCTCAATGTCAATAAAACCCGGGTCTCCTGGCTTCCTGGGAGCCATCTCCTTCACACAGCGTGATGGGGTGTGAAGAGCTAGGACTATGGAGTCCAGGTCACATTCTGCCACCTCCCAGCTGTGTGTGGCCTCGGCCATGTTCCCCTCCTCTCCCTGTGGCCTTAGTGTTCTCATCTGTGAAATGGGAACATTGTCCCTCCCTCCCTCCCTCCCTCCCTCCCTCATAGGGCTGCCACGAAGATTAAGAGAGCTGCTGTGTGCGTGTGGTGCTTGGCTCGTGGGAGGGCTGTGTTCTCCTCTCGCTGCTATTGCTATGCGGTGTCCCAGATCGCCATGGGACTCCCGGCTCTGGCCCCTGTGGCCAGAATAAGTATTTCCGGTCAACAATGAGGTGGCCACGGGTGTCCAGTGACAAGTGAGGGTCCTGGGAGTGGCGAGGCCTCTGTGGTCCACCTCCTCCAGCCCTCGAGGCCGGACTGAGGCCTCGGATTCCCCTCTCACCGCCATCTAAGGAGATAATAAAAGGCTGATTCTTTTTTTTCTTGGTCAAATTTCAGCAGAAACTGTACGCATCATTAAATATGGAAATCCAGAATTTTATTAGCAATCTGCTAGATCTGAACTGACGCCAATTAAACAA